TTTCTTTATTCTCCTCTCTGTCTCTCTCTCTCTTTCTTTCTCTCGCTCTGTGTGTTTGTTTGTGTGTGTGTGTGTGTTTGTGTGTGTGTGTGTCCATACAATGTGTACGACTTAAGAAATTATCCACGAAATTATCCACATGTCAAGATGGTCAATCAGTAAGCCTTTCAACTTCCTTACGTCCCTTTCTCTTTCTCTCTCTCCCGCCCTCTCTCTTTCTCACTCTCTTCACACACACACACACACACACACACACACACACACTCATTAATTCTTTATACGTATAGTGGACTAGTGTTAGCCAACACACAAGTCCCTTGTATGTATAGTAGACAGTCTAGTGTTCAGTCAACAAACGGTTCAATATTGGGATTACTTAACTAAATGCATGTATGAAATCCTTTCCTTCAGGAACGCCATAGTGGTATCACAATCTATAGGATTTCATAGCTGGTGTGTATGTATCAGTAAATGTGTGTTAATGTGCGTGTGTCTATATTTCATGGCTTAAAGTGATATCAGTAGTTTACTAATGATCACAGAATTGCATACCTGTGTCGACAAGAGGAAACATTTCACTACAAAGGCCCAGTGTTATACAGACTGCTACACTTCGCGCTTTGACTTATCTCGGCTGTCACGTCTTTTTGTGGGGCTGGTTTCTTCTTGAATGATTTATGCACACTGCTAATGTGCTTTCTTCCGCTAGTTGATCAATCTACTACGGTATGTTTTGATCTGTGAGTTTAAATAGACTTGTTTTAACCCGAAGCTCCGTCTTCTTGCTGGTCGCCCCCTGCCTCTCCTTCTTGTTACCAAGCTTTCTGTTATTATTTTTTTTAAGTCGCATTGGCGACTGATATGGCCAAAATATTTCAGCTTCCAGATAAGATGTAGTATATTAGTCTAATCTTCCTTGATGTTCATATCTTTTAGGACGTCGTAATTCTTTTCTCTTTTGTCCACGGTTTTCTGAGAATATGTCTATAGCATTTCTGCTCAAAGGCCCATATTTTCTTCCTTTAAGGACTGTGGAGCTGTCCACGACTCAAAACCGTATGCTGCTGCAGGAAAGGTGCTTGCTCTCAAAATTCTGAGTTTTTATTTCCTTGATGTTGCTCAACATAGTGTTTTTTAATATTTAAGAACAAAGAAAGGAAAGAACCCATTTCTATACAAATATCCAACCTGAGAACCGCAGTTAATATACGACTAATTTACAAATAACGTTGTCGAAATGAAATCTTGGAGATCACATTCTTTCATGATTTCAGTGTCACATCTACTTTCATCTCTTCTTCTTCTTCTTCTTCTTCTTCTTCTTCTTCTTTTTCTTCTTCTTCTTCTTCTTCTTCTTCTTCTTCTTCTTCTTCTTCTTCTTCTTCTTTTTCTTCTTCTTATTTTTTTTCTAATTCTTCTTTTTCTTTTTCTACTTTTTCTTCTTCTTCTTCTTCTTCTTCTTCTTCTTCTTCTTCTTCTTCTTCTTCTTCTTCTTCTTCTTCTTCTTCTTCTTCTTCTTCTTCATCTTCTTCTTTTTCTTCTTCTTCTTCTTCTTCTTCTTTTTTTTCTTCTTCTTCTTCTTCTTCTTCTTCTTCTTCTTCTTCTTCTTCTTCTTTCTTCTTCTTCTTTTTCTTGTGTGTTCTCCTTTAACAGGGCAGCTGACACGCTCTGCGGTGGTTAACAACAAGGCGGCCATATCTGCGTCTTTCCGTCCAAAATACCCGATTTTAGTAAACTGCTAATTATCCGCCTTTTACATCATGGTTGCTAGATGAAATTAAGCCTTTTTTTTTTTTTTTCAAAAAGTATGACCCCGGAACCCACGCAGAAAATCTCTGTTTTCTCTATTTTTCTATTAAACGATATTTCGATAGCTTTCTTGTAATTTTTCACTAGTCTGTTGGCTGTTCAAAATGTATAGGGTTCGCAGGCTGTTATTTAGTTCCATTCTACCCTGAACAAGTTCCTCATTATCATGGATGTAATCCGGTCCTACATCTCTGGCCGCTTTCATCAACGTTCGTCTTAGGATTTCTTTTGAAAAGCTTCTAAGAACGCTCCTTCTCACAGTATGATATACTAAAATAAACTACACTGAGGTGCGCTGAAGAATTTCTGTTTTCGTTGTTTACACAACATGTACAAAAGAAATCTGAAAAGACCAGGTTACTCCCTGCTGTCCTGATTCTCTCTGTAGTAAATTAGAAGCTTGTGAATTGTTCATTGACACACAAAGGTAAAGTACGCACAAGACACGTGTACAACACTGTAAGGTCAACATTCCTGAATACGCCAGAACAAATCGTGCCAGTAGCCCGTTCTGCGACAAGCACTGACAAATCCCCCAGTCGTGCCACTGTTATTGAGAGTCGCCGGCTTGGAAGGGCCATAACCTTTTCACATGTTTCATATCGGCACGGTTATCAATAACAGCCGATACTGTATCCTGAATAGGTGGAGCCCATATTGAGTTACATATTGTGTGGTGTGGATATAAGCAGTTTTTTTTGGTGATATTGTAAACTAGGCGTACACAATGTAATTGTTTGCCAATAACATCACAACAGGGTGCTGTTTCTTTAAGTAATAGAAACACGGTGGATTTCTTTAAAGTGGCATTAAGCTGAGGCGAGTTTTTTACATATGATATTACAATTATATTATGGTGTGTTCGTCAAGTTTCTGTTTCCAGGGGTCCCATATCAGTTCGGAAAATATTTTATGCGTTCCATGTTGTTAAAATCTGAAATGTTATCTGAAACTAGCTGCAAATAAACAAACTGTATCGCAGAGAAAACCAAGACATTGTGTAATTTTTATAATACTTTTTTCCTATATATATATATATATATATATATATATATATATATATATATATATATATATATATATATATATATATATCAATCAATACACTTGAGCAAATTCAATTATTAAAATCGATCTCCAATGTAACTCACAATATTTGGATTTCTTGGAATTCGCGCAGTCTCGATCGCATATGGAAATTATGTTTTTATGAAAAGTAAAGCGTATCAATTGCCAAATATGTCCTACATTATTAAATACTCCTATTAGCTATGAATAATTCATTAAAATATTTTTTAAAGAAATATGTCATTGAAATGTGCATATAAACAAACAAACAAACAATGGGAAGAAATTTTGTCTTGTAAAATTAAAATTAACAAATATAAAAAATGTACAACAATAGGTTGCACAAATGAAATCATTTAGACACATAAGGTTAGTTGCGTATCCTTTACAGGACGTTGCAGAACCAACCCCAGCAGCCCCTGGCTGTTGTGTGGTTTATCTAGGCAAATTTAAATCCAGTAGTTTGCCATTGCCCTGGACGGTCGGCACCCCTGATACCAATGTCGAAACCAACGCAAGGCGCATGGCCCGCAGCTGGGATCGAACCATGCACCCCAGTATTGCGTAGCGCTTGCATCGACTTAGCCACAGAGCCGACTTGAACACGTAGAGAGACATAATCTTCTACTGACAACAATACAGAAATAGAAAAAGAAAAATAGGTTGTGCAAGACGAATTTAGTCAAGTAAACTAGGCGGGAAGTGGTGGTTACATCGCGAGACCGTGTTGAGAAACATCTACACTTGGCAAGTGAAAAGATAAAAAGTCAAGAAAGTTTTTGACTAATGTCTAAAAAAGTTGAAACGGAAAGATAGTATTGATGTACTACATTGGTGATGTCAGAGAAAGACCACAGTAGGAAATGAAAAGGAGGTTAAACAATTTAGTGTACTACATTGGTAAGATAAGAGAAAGACTAGACAGAAAGAAATGGAAAGCAGATTAAACAGAAAGATAGTTTTGGTGTGCAGCATTGGTGAGATAAAGAAAGACTAGACAGAAGGAAATGAGATTAAATAGAAAGAGAGTTCTCGTGTGCTACATTGGCGAGATAAGAGAAATACTGGAAGGGTGCTGAACTGTACTATCTGAGCAAAAGAAAAGAAGGACTGGAAAGAAAGTTATATACAAATTAGAATGTAATGTCTTGGCAAAAGAAGAGGTGGACTGAACTGTGTGTTAGACTAATACGTATCTTAGCAGAGTGTTGCAAATTTACTGTGTTTATTGTGGCCAACATGTTCTCTGCAAACAACACATTCTTCCTCCTCTTTGCGTTCACTGGCTGTGAACTCCTGCGGAAATTGTTGTTTATTCATCCATTTTGGTTTCGTTACAGAACTTGAGTTTTACGTGCACATGCGTTTTACAGATATGGCTTATTTTGCAGACTATTGGTTCCTCGACTCTTGGGCAAATGCGCTCCTACTTAGAAGGAAACAAACTTCATTTGTAGACTTTTGCGACATGCTTGAAAGAAAGGGGGCAGTGATAATAACCCTACCCCCCCCCCCACACCCACCCACCCACCCCCCCCACCCCCGCATTTCCAAATTAGGGCGTAGAATCCACAAGGGGAGTAAACGACAAACAACATATCTGGATACTAAAATAAAAAATAAAAATATCATAAATTATTTGCTTGTCTTGATCGACTGTGACCTTTAAAAAAAAATATTACATTTACTTTAGAAATCGTCACAACTCTATTTTAAGCAGTCTTTTGTATTCCTAATCATTATACAAGGTATATTATTCAACGTGTCTGGAAAATGCCTTTAAATAGTGCCAAAACGAATCCTTTTCTCCATGCTAGTATGCACAGAAGCAAAGTTCACAGGTGATTAGTTCGAGTCACAGATTGTCATCTACAGAGTTAAATTTGACATTGAATTGCTGTGTTGTGGAATATACAATAATACACAGTTTCGGGAAACTAACAGTTGTGTCCGTTTATTCAGTAAACATATATTTGCGACCAGTTATGTAACAGTGACAGGCGATTTACCACCTACATTGGTTTCTACGTGTTTAACCAGCTGTCAGGAGTGAATACCGTAGGACTATAGCAGCTAAGTAAAATCTACTTGTCATCGTTCTTGGGCAGCAGTTCTCTCAAGGAATGGCCAAGAGCAAATATGAATATGTTAGACAGTTTGAAATTGATGACCCGTTGCTGCAGAACTGTTGGATTGTTGTCCGAGTTGACGGTAAAGCTTTCCAAAAGTAAGTAACCAATATTTTAATAGCTAAGTATATTAAATAACATATGTTTGTTAAGAAAACAGGGAAGGAAGTATTACATTATACGGAGGGGTTTTTCTTTCTACAAAAAGGGGGACGATACTCATCAAAAAGGTCCTAAAACATGTGCCGGTACTCGTCTTTTCATAAACAAACAAAAAAAAAACTTTGTCTAGTTCAACTAGCACACCTGAAGGTTGTAAGTGTGACTAGGTTATGTGCGCCATATACAAATGCTTAGCATTGCACGCCACCAAAAGCCCTGAAACGGATTCCTGATGCGGTCACATAAAACGGAGCCAAATACTGTCCCGACCGGCGACGAAGTTATCCACTGGCCAGCCAATGGGGAGTTATGCGTGCTAGTCATACAGAGCTAGGCCCATATTCTATAGACCAGTCGGCTCTTGACAGGTGATGTGGTCAACCTTTACAAGTGATGCGGTCGACTTTGCTTCCTAGGACTTCACCTAGAACCCACTCAATGCTTGGTCGACCTGGGAGCCAGGACCCAAACTGCCGACCTTCCCATCCGTAGGTGAGAGTCCAGCCGCTACACCACGGTGGCTAGCTATGTGTCTATTTCAGTAACCCTAACAAAATGATACCCAAAAAAAAAACAGTGCTGGTTTAAAGTATCTGTTGTGTGCCGCCCGGGGAGGGGATCAGGGGGAGAGCCCTGATTACACAACGTTTAAAGATGCTTTATTAATATCCTACCCTAAACAGGGTAAATCCACAGATCACAGGGCAGTCTAATATTTCAAGGGGTGATAGATAAGCTGCATGCAGTCGTGGGACCTGGGCTGCACTCTTTTGCGGGAGGTAGGTGGGTTCGGGTTAACGCGAGTTCTAAATGTTTTGAGGTCGTTAAAAGCATCAGAAAGCCGGGAAACCCAGTCTTATCACCCTCTAATATGTTGGGCTGTCCTGTAACGTCATCTAGAGGTAGGATATTAATAAAGAACCCGTTTATATTCTATTTTACATGCTTTATCCTGTTCTTATTCTTCTTGGCGTTTTGCGTGTGCATCCGTTGTACAGATCTAGCTTATTTATTTGCAGATTTGTTTGCTGAAGTAATGTGTGTATGTGCGTATGTGCACTCAAAACAGAAGAAGTCAGAATTACCATTGAAAAAATAACAACATATACGTTGCAGAAGCTGACAATATGAAGAGACGTGTTAGTCATGTCTAGAAGCCCCTGGTGGATATTTTGAACACCTGGTTCAATGAATATATCTCTGGTACTTTCCAGCTTGTTCAAAACAAGGTTAGATCATTGCAGCAACCATTGTAACTAATGTAATGAATTTTTAAGCATGTTTTTATGGCATCATGAAGTTGGGTTTTTTCTGCATACGAAGCGTAATGAGACTTTACAAACACCCTATATTTCCAATAAGTTTCAAAGCAACGAAAAAAGTCCATTGTACCGCATCGAGAATACGATGATAGCTATATGTATATATGATTATGGATATATCACCTAGCATTCGATGGGCGGTTCGGTCAACTTCACACCGACCACTTCTGCTTCCCAGTACATTGCCCAGAATCCATTTTAAGTTGAGTCGATCTGGGAGCTAAAATCGATGTTTGCCTATGCGTATTCGAGCCCAACACAAACAGGCCGGTAAGCCTAGCCTGTACGCAGCTCAAGTTACTTAACTACGTTAAGCTAATTCAATCTTAAGGAGCCGCAGTGGCGTAGCGGCTAGGCGCTAGCCTACGAATCCGAAGTTAGTGTGTTCAGATCCTAAAGCAGCCGGACTTATTTTCAAAAACGACCTTGGCTCCAAGGTCGACCCAGCCTAAAATGGGTAACAGGCAACGTTCTATGAAGTAAAGGCGGACGGCGTGACGCTGACCACATCACCAACCGAGTGCCGATTGGTCTATACAATATAAGTTCTATAAAATATAGGTCGAGACTTATACGCCCAATGCACCAGAAGGAGCGGAAAAAAATCCGTTCCTTTAATTAAATCTGGCATTCTGTCAAAGATTGAAAGCAACCCCGTACGATAAACCCATATTGACGCAGTTGCGCACCTAACAGAAGGTAAATAACCAAGAAGCTGCAATCTGATACTGCTTCCAATTCGATACCGCAACAAGGTCTGGCTTCGACCGAGGAGGCCAACGTGACACCGGCTAACGAGTAGTTGGTGCATACATGTACATTGTGTTGACAAGCAAGAAATTGCCTGTGCAGTTGCTGAGAGAGGTTTTCTCGTATACTATTTTTTGTTTCTGGTGGTACGCAACGGTGCGCAGTGCCAACACGTTTTAGGGCATCATTTTTTTTTTTTTTTCGCGCTACTGTAAATAGACACTTGGCGATGAGTACCGGAACACAGTTCGTGTGGTGAGTACTAGTACCCTTGTTCCCCTAGCTCTTTGAACTCAGTGAAGGTAACTGTCCCCTGGTCTAAGCCCTTTGTTCCCCTGTGGAGAAATAAAAGCATTGGTAATACTCTTAATTCAAAGACATTCGTTTAAGATGTGTTAACCAGTTTGAGCTCAATGAAGTAAACTGTCCTCGGGTCTAAGCTCTGAAAAACGCCTGGCTTCTGTGAGGTTGACACCAGCAGAGGTTGGTGTAAAGCAGTGGCTTGAAACCTTTTTTAAGTGGTTATCTCCACTCCCTTCCCCGCCCCCAACCCCATTTATTTAAAAAAAATGTTATTAAAAATGGGACAAAAAGAAAAATGCCAAGTGTCAGACAACACAAGAAACAATCTTAAACAGCTGGTAATTTAGTGTCCAAATGTCAATGTGGTGGTAGGCGATGTTTTATCTTGAATGATATCTGCTTTTTTTTTTTTGGGGGGGGGGGGGGGGGGGGGGGGGAGTGGTCTGAATCTGGACAAGGCACAAATGAATACTAGTGGTGGAAAGGAGGAAAAAAAGGGGGGGGGGGGGGGGTTAGTATAAAGACTGTAGCAATTACAAATGAACTCAGTTTCAAAATTGCTTGACGCAGTATTGAAACTCAGTATAAACTTATTCGAAACTGAGGTTTTCCCCATTGTTCACCTGTTCAGTAAAACTGTAAATTCATGTACATTCTGGAATTTTGTGTGACCGAACAGGACACGCTGGTAACATCATTATCATCACCAATTCGGTTGTCTTTGTGCCTAGGGGGCACATAAGGTTTCAGAGAGGCTTTCCATGATTTCCTGTCCTGTTGAATCTTCAGTGCACATAAATAAATTCGATTGCCAGCACGGTGACTATTTATTTCCATTTTTATGTTGTCTAGTGTGTTCTTCTATCTTTCTACTCTTTTTTATGAGTGCTCATCAATGCATTGTATGTTACTTTATTATTACATAACATTTAACGGCCTCAAAGGTTTCCCTCTATTTAAGTGTGTGAATGACTTATACACACCGGAACCTACCAATCAAATACTTTTCTTTAATGTTTGTGTATTCTAGGTTAGTTGCGTATCCTTTACAGGACGTTGCAGAACCAACCCCAACAGCCCCTGGCTGCCACCTCAGTGGTTTGAAAAGAATTCTGTTCGTATTCCATAATTGTGGATTTCAAGCTGTACGATAGACATGGCCAAAAAGGCATCTTTTTGAGGGGTTGACCATATTCTTAGTGCACTCATTTCCTTAGCGAGGCGCACACGCCGTCTGGAGGTGACAGGTTCGATTCCCGGCACGGTAATTACAGCAATAGATTTTTATGTTGTCTAGTGTGTTCTTTTATCTTTCTGCGTCTTTCTATAAGTGCCGATCAAAACATTGTCTGTTACTATATCAATATATAATATTAACAGCCTCAAGGGTTACCACTCTATTTAGGTGAATGACGTATACACACGAGAACGTACCAATCAAATACCTTTCTTAACATGTTTTTGTATTCTAGACAAAGCATTAAGGTCTTAAACTGGCGACTTTCATTTTTTTTAATTTTTATTTTTAAAATAGCTTCTTCTTCTGCTTTGCGTTTACCGACTGTAAACTTCGGCAGAACGTTCTGGTTGTTCGTCCACATCTGGACCCTAGTCTTGTTTCAGAACCTCTGAGTGTTGCGTGCACATCTGGACCCTAGTCTTGTTTCAGAACCTCTGAGTGTTGCGTGCACATCTGGACCCTAGTCTTGTTTCAGAACCTCTGAGTGTTGCGTGCACATCTGGACCCTAGTCTTGTTTCAGAACCTCTGAGTGTTGCGTGCACATCTGGACCCTAGTTTTGTTTCAGAACCTCTGAGTGTTGCGTGCACATCTGGACCCTAGTCTTGTTTCAGAACCTCTGAGTGTTGCGTGCACATCTGTTTTAACAGATCTGAATTATATGTATGCAGATCGTTGTTCCTTGCCTCAAATTAGTCCCAATTAGCCGACTCTGACGGCATGCTTTGGGGAGGCAGTGGGTCTACTCTTATATTTGCCCCCTAACAGGGCCCCGGGACCTACACGGGGATTTTGGATACATAATAATGTGCTGTTTATTTCCTGGAAGGCTAAGCCGTTGAACAAATACCCGATGAGGTCGGATGTGTCGGCCGAAAGCGTAAATATCACAGCTATGCTGTAAACAGGCACAAAGCAATTACATCGGTCGGAGGAACTAAGAAAAATATATTTGTTTTTAATAATGATTTTTTTTTTTTTCATTTTATTAAATTATTTTTCAGGTATATCCTTGTTACAGCTATATTGATTTTGTTCAGTGCTCTTTATTCTCTTCAGTGCTACTCATTATCTCTTGTCTAACGTTTTATATTTACTTGACAATGACCAGATCCAGCCATCGTTATGTGCCTGTATATATATATATTGCGGTGATTAGCCTTCATCAGCACATACAGAATAACACAGTACATATACACAAATATGCTCTAACTATGAAGTGACTACATAGGACTCTATTGTACAAAATAAATGATACTCATCTGTGTCTTTGGCGAAAAACTTCGTTCAAGAGGATGACTAGGACAGGTACTAACCTATAT